AATTCAGAATTCAGAATTCAGAATTCAGAATCCAGAGATCCCCCATCTCATCTTTCACTCTCTTGTTAGCCAAATAGCCGGCGGCCAAGCCAAACAATTCCCATTGTTCTCGCAGTGGAAGAAAAGGAGGCCGAAATGGGTCACTCAGATGGTTGGGGTAGATCCGACTGAATCGCTTTTGCTCCAGGCAATTAACAATTGGGCACAGCAAGACATTGTGCATCTTTCACTCGGAAAAAGAGGAAAACCCCCCACAGCTGATCTGTTTTTCTCCGTGTGGCGGGTCAATTGATTTTTCATCTACTCACCGCCGCTGCGTTTTTTGTTCTCGGCCAGCGAGGACTTCTGTTTGCGTGGCATTCGGAAGGAGTTCCACAGGAAGGAGCTCGAGGGCGTCGAGGCTGTCAGCGAGGACTTGATGGACTTCTTGCCGTACGAGCGGAAGATGTCCAACTCGCTGCCGCCCGCCACCGAGGAGGAGACCGAGGAAATCATTGACTTGCTGGTGGTCGTCGGAATCCGCGATGTTTTGGCCATGTTGTTGTTGTTCTGGCTGCTGCTGTTGTTGTTCAGCAGCTTCTCCGCCTTGGCAGCTGCCCCGCCAGCTCCTCCTCCTCCGCCACTGCCTCCTCCAGATGCGATTCCCGAATAGATTTTGCCATACTTCACATCTTGCGGATGGTGATAGTCCTTGTAGCCGTACTTCTTGGCCTGCACATTTTTGTGGTTTTTCAACATCTGCTGGAACTCTTTCCAATCCGCAACCGATGGCAACGAGTACGTGGACGTGGTCGCGTCCTTGTTGGCATTCAGACTTTGCGAGGAGCCGTACAGAAGTGACACAAACTCGTTGAGACCCATTTTTTGGGGCATGCGCTCTTCGCTCTCCGCTGCCAGCTGCCAGTCGGCCAGTCAGCCAGTGGCTCTCAAACCGTACACTGTTATATCTGCTTTTGTCACAACCACACCAGCTAGCTTCTGAGCATACATACACTGCGCGAATTAAGGCACTTCAATACACACACGTCCGGCGGTTTCAGAGTTCAGCGGGCAACTAACCGCGGATCCGCAAACGAACGGAAAACAGAAAATGGGGGATCGCTCGCTCTGCCGACGCCAAAACTTCGCTGCCACTTCGCTGCCGGCTTTAACTTGGCTTTTACACCAACAACTCCGAGTCGAACTCCACTGCCGATCCGACTTCAACGCTAAGGCAACCACCACACCGGCGGCTTACATAAAGTCAATTGTAAAAAGGCCTCCAGAGCACCTAGGAAATTCCATTCGCACGTTTGACGACCGATTCGATTTGAATTTTGACAAAATGAGAACAAAACGCCGGGTAAACTGATTAAATCAATGAAGCACCAACATTTTTGTATTTTTCCCATAGCAGAAAAACATTTGGAAAATGGCCATTTAGAATTTGCCTTTTTAAGGGCTCAAATAACATTGATTTTTTTCCCTTTCACAATAATTTGTCTCCAAGAAAAGTGGTCGCACATCATCGCAGCTTCATTATGATTATTTATTGTTGTGGGGATTGTAATTATACGAGTATATAGTTTTTTTTTTTTTTTTCATTATAAAATTGTCGCCGCTACTTTCGCGTCACAGTTGGCCAGCAGCAAAAGTAGTTTTTCAAGCGACTGCCACACGAGCGTATGCAAATTCCACATTAAAACAACATACTATATAGTAGGAGATAACTCTTAGGTTATTACGGATGGCAAGGTAAGAACTCGGCGCTGAGCGGGCACCGCTCATTAAGAGCCACGCTCCAGTTAGAAGCTCGAGGGCTATAAACTTTATCAGGTTTGAGAGATTAAGCTGCGATAATTATGGCCGACAAGAAAGCACTTCTATTGAGCAGAATCGGCCAGCATGATAAACGCCAGCTCCATCTTGACCTGAATTCAAATCGGTTAATGGAATATATAAACCCAAAAATCCGCACGAAACAGGGAAGTAATCATGGCATGTGCCGGATATTGAATATAATCCGAAAACCGAAAGTTTTAGATTATTAGGGTGTTACGTAAACCCACCGAACAATTGTTGAATCGAAGAAAGCGAACTCTCATTGCAGAGCTTGCGAAATTCGGTGAATTATTTCAAATGTATATGCCCATAAATATCCCGATAAAAATTTATGCATAACCACCATAAAATAAAGCGGAGTTCTCACGCTAAAATATATTATTCAAAGCCGAATTTACTCAGGCCCTAAGAGCCGCGGTGGGGTCTCCCAACAATTTATGCAATATTTGGCTTCGGTTTTAGCCAACTTTTGTGTGCAAATTGTAAAACCCACGAGATGGGCAGAAGCAATCTCCATCTTCTCTTCTTGCATAAATTTGTCATGCGAAATAAACTTGTGAAACGCCGGCTGACAGTTCAATATAATTTTTGTGGGCCAAAGTATGTTAATTTGTCTTTTATGCTCAGGAGGTGGGCTAATTAAATGCTTTATTATTTTTTAGATTTTACTAAGCTAGTTGACAATATTTTGTATCGACTGACTGCAAAGACCACCAATGAAGCAATCTGGTAAATGAGCCTGGCTATTTTCTTACAAATCTTTCGGCTTGCAAAAGCGGCTCATGTGTGGGCTCCAAATGAATTGCAAATTGTTATGGAAACGCTAACGTACTCAATACTCAAAGTAGCAATAATTTCTCATATGTACTTTTTGCATTGGTTACGCATGGCAGAAACCGGCGAAAGAAAAGTAAAAGTATTTCCAAACAAAAGCCACCAATAAAGCAAACGCAGAAATACTGGAAAGGTGCGTGTTGGTGTTTGATTTCTCGTGAAGAGGGGCGGCCATTAACTTTTTGCAGGCTACATCGGTAATTTCCAATTGCAAAATGCGAAATGCAAAACAGTTAATAGATTACGATGATATTCTCTTTTCCGAAGCGTGCCGGCGAGAAAAACGATTGACAATTAATCTGGTAAAAGCGTGAATGGAGGCCATAAAGAAAAGCCCACGATGGCGGCGACAACACCGAAATCAATGAACTTGATGTGTGTAGGCCATAAATTAGAGTGAAAACAAGCAGTCAGTCAGATAATGGGCTGGCTTAGGCCACACACATTAAAAAAGAAAAAAAAGAAAGAAAAACGCACCCAAAAGCAAAAGCAAGCCAACCAAAAAGAGTTGGCGTGCGACTTGAGAAGATTTTACTTTTGTAATATACTCTTCTAAAAAGAAGTCCAAAATGGGTTTAGGAAGAACAATTTTAGATATTTTTTAAAGGGAAATTTGAAACAGAGATGTAACTTTATCTTAAGATATTTTGGAAGCCAAATCAATCAGAATAAATATTTGGAACTCAAAGAAAATAAACAGATTTAAATATTTTGAATTTTGTTTGGATTTATTATAAATAAACTTATATTTTATTTGATTTTCCAACACAAAGAAGGGCATTCAGCAATCCCCGCCGCTTCGCCTACAACTTTCCCAATGTCTGTTTCACATGCGGGCCACAATCACGCACAATCAAAATTAAATGACAACTTAATTGATCGCTGCCCCAAGTGGATGGTGTGAAAGCAATAAATAAAATTCGACAAAATAGTCGAACTCGGCGCCACAAAGAGTGTGGGTGAAACCGATGGCTGGCAGCTCCTTTGGTTTGGCTAATGTTCCCACAGAAAATAGAAAACCGAGGGGAAAGCGGGGAAACATTTAACAAACAATTTAACTGCAAATAAGCCAAAACGATGCAGTGGCTCGCAAGTGGGGGGTGAAGTGGGTGGTGAAGGGTGCTGGGGGGTCAGCGGAGCGTACACCAACGCCCAGCTTGAAAAGCAAGAGCAACAAGAACAAAAAGCCACTGGCAGCAGCTCCAACCCGCTGAACATCAAAGCAAATTTCGTTGAGGCGGCAAGTGAACGCGAAGCGGCATAAACAAGTTGTGACATTTGCGTTGAGAACAACGAGGGGGAAATTCTCGCAGTGTGTGTGGGCCACAGTGTATGGTATGGTGGAACCACCTGCCAAGTGGGGGTCATGCACACGATTATGTAAGCACTATATATACAGACATATGTATGGCAAGTAAAGTTAACCAGTAAATTCACTGGCTTACTCAACTGCTGAGCGGGCTGGAAGATAAAGACCAAAACTGATAGGTGGGAAAAGTAGGGAGTTCTCAGCTGAAATTGATTCGAACGGCAAAACTTTGAAGATAAACACGTAGCCACAGTAAAGACTGGCTTTTGGTTAATCAAATTCATTTTAAAACTTGTCTAAAGATGAATATTAAGTATATAATATTTTTAGGGGTCTCACACCCATTTGTTTGGTTTTTGCACTCATTCCAGTAATTACTGTAAACGCAGACGAAGGTGAAATTAGTTAAACAAGTCATAGAGACAAATCCCATAAAGATAATCACCGCCTGTTAGTGGCATTCTGGCCAACCCCAATTTATGAATAGTTTATATCCATAAACGAACGACGAACCCACAGCAAAGCGTTCACCTTGCCACTGAAATCGTTTGAGGTGTGTGATACGCATTCGACACCAAAACAGGTGGCAAAATAATAATATTGTATACTATATATAGTAAAACCAACTGCCAACTCGTGTGGCAGTTAGGCTCAGTAGTCCCTAATCCGCAAATGGCTAATTAGCCGCCTTAATATTAATTACAAAAGTTGGCCAACTCTTAAGCCAGAAAACTGTCCCCGGAGAGCATTTTGCAATGGCAAACTTTGTACATCGAGCATTGTGCCATTGAAACCCTATTTATTTTTTTTTTTGGGCAGACAAAAAACTTTGGCGGCACGTTCAGATAAAAATTAATTTGATTTGGAGCAAACTTGGATTTCGTATGCTTTCACTTCGGATCTTTCGATCGACCGAAAGGGAAATAGGAAATAAATAATGGGGTTACGATTTGAAGTGCTCCAATTCCGATTTCCCTTCGCGAGCGTAATTAACTTGTTCGAAATTATTTTTTGTTTTTTCTTTTTTGACACTTACCCTCGGAAACGCCGACAATTGGGGGGCTTTTGATAATCGCGTTCGATTTGAGTTTGGACGATTGTTGTTTAGATGTGGTGCCAGATTTTGTGGCCACTCCTTTGAGGGGTGTTGCAACTCCAGCCGGGCTGCCCGAAATGCCATTTAAACGTTTATCTGCAATGATAAGATGGAATGGAGGCTGTTACTTAAAGATATTCAAATTGATTTTGAGAAAACAAAAGCATACTTTCAGGCATCTGGCCAATATCACATTCGTTCTCCATACATTCTTCTCTGAGGTTTCTCAATGAATTTTTGCTGCCAAAATGTTTTCGAATAAATCGACCTAAACCCATATTTCCGCTCGTCCTTATCTCGTCCACTCCAAACGCCAGCCTCGCATTTGAAGTGTGGTGAGAAGGGTAAAAACGTGATGCCAAAATACACTTAACAATGTGGAAATTTAACAATTATTTGGAGTTGTACTATGCTCAGAGCTATATGGCCGGGCCTGCTAGGTTAGGCAATTGTGATAAACAGAAATTCCCACTTCCTATCGGCTATCAATGCACTTGAGCTCCTTAAATGCAGGGAGCGCAGCAAAGGCAAAAGTCTGAGTCGCAATCTCGATCCGAGTCTGAATTCAGCGGAGGAAATAACGATCCCCTGCAGCTGGCCGCCCAGCATGTCATAATTTGACCAAATTAATGAAATCAAAGGAAAACCAGTTTGCATTTTCAGCTTGCAACGAGGTGCACAAGGTGCAAAACAGGCGAAGAATGCCGAATCAGAAAAGAAACACCTGTTTTGGAGCAGCATAAAAGCGGCAAGTGCGTGAGGCAAGCAGTTTAAGTTACTTGAAGCAAGCAGTTAAAATGTTGCTGAAAAATAACTAAACATGTATCCGCAACATGTTTAGTTATTTTTCAGCAACCATCTCTTTGATCATTACTGAAAGAAAGCAGTTCAAATGTTGCTGAAAAAGATCTCAACATGTTGCAGCCATACCATCTCTTCGATCATTACTGAAATCAAGATAAGTCTATAGAATTTTTCAGAAATCTACAAGATGTTTTTATACCTAATTGTAGACCATTTTAAAAATAGTTTCAAGTTGTACTTATTCGAGAAGTTTCACTGTAAATATACATATGTTCATTTTTGTATTACACCTTCTTTATGTTGCTTAAGTGGACTATCGTTTTAAATGTTGCCAAAGCAGTTGATAAGAGTAGAAATGTTGCCCAAGATCTCTCTTAAAGAAGACAAAATTAAGCTCTTAGCTAAATAACTCTTAGCTCGATAAACTCTTTGTTTTCAAAGCACTCTCTTTACTCCCTCCGAAGATACAGGTTTCCCTGAATAATTAACATAATTTGCCGCTTTTGTTTTCCCCCCAGCCAGTAGTGTCCACATCTGAACTCACGGCCACTCGAGAACGGAACCCATATCTCCCATATTGTCGCTGCAATTCTCCAGCTCGTGCTGAAATCTTTAGCCCGCTTGTCACCGCTTCGGTTTCAATGCTAACCGCAAAAACAAAAAGGCAAAAAAGCAAAGGAAAAAAGCTAAACAAACCAGCAAGCCAGCGCCAGAAGCCATAAATGGCTAGTACAAGTCTAGGCGGCGAATAAATACAACAAAAAACAAAAAAACCGGGCAAGTACGAACAATGGAATTGTGCAGGCCGAAAAAAGAGTTTACAATGCCACGAATGTCAATGTCAGCGGCGGCGAGTTCTGAACTTTATGGCAGTTGCCACCCATGAAGAGCGCCAGATATCCCAGTTTTCATCGGCTAAACCCACAGCGATTACCACCTGAATGATCAACGGAAGTAACCGGATTTATTTCAGCACTCTTCATCTCAGGTGCGTGGGCAGCTAATCTGTATCTGAAAGATACAAAGAGGTGCGAAAGTGCCGACGACTCAATCGATCTTGCGCAATTACGCCAATAATCATTTGGGTTTTGGCTTTTATTTTATTTTTGCTTTTGGCCAACCGCCAAACGTGGCTTAAAGAGAGTGTGGCGTGGGCTTAAAGACCAGCACGTTTGCCCCACAGAGCTGTCCAGTGCATACTGAATAGGCCAGCGAATTAGCTGGAATTGCGATTCACGATGGGTGTGCTGTGCAACTCCTGCTTATCACTATCACTGGTGATTTGTACTGACAAACTGAAAGAATTTGAGGCACGTCTCGCAAGATTACCCCTCGGAACAGAGAAACTATAAGTATAGAAGCTTCTTGCTGTTGCAACTCACTTTAAAACACCTTTCTTCTATTTTGACTAATCTCCGGCGGCATTAATTGCGCGAAATTGCATGTTGGCTAAATAAATCTTAATTAGTACAAGAAATTCCAGCCGAGAGCGTGATCCAAGCACAAAGCTCGTTTGTTCCCCCCTCTGAATATGCAAAACACGTTTCACCATGCTTTTCTTTGGCCCAACTGAATGGGAAAACAGCGCGATAAGCATGTGCACTCGCCATTCCCTGGACAATGATCACCGGGGATCGGATCGGGGTAGAGCAATTTTAAATTAGACTCTTTCGCCGGTTACTGTACGTACTATATATAAATAGAATCCACGCCGAGAAATTCGGTGGAGAAGGAGGAGGCATTCTCTTAGCGACTTCAGCCCTGCGACATTTCGAGCAATTTAGCAAGATCTCGGCAGGCGAGCACAATGAATTTCCCTATTAAGGCTAATTTATGCAGGCCTGCAAACATTTGCATGACCCGGGCACGACCGTAAACAAAATAATGGAGCCCGCACAAAATCGGGCATTACGAAAAAATTCAGGAATAAAAAAACATTTTTGCATCGGCCGGGAATCGAACCCGGGCCGCCCGCGTGGCAGGCGAGCATTCTACCACTGAACCACCGATGCTCCTATGAAAAGCCCTTGCCGAAAATTCCCCAAAGTCTTCCACAGATTCTCCACGGCATATGCTTTTAATAGTTTTAATAGTTCAACCCAATCTATGATTTATTAAGTTCGCGTTTCAGCTCTCGATTGTGCCACTTTCCAGACAACATAACAAATCTGAATTATGGGGTCAACGAAATTCTGCTAGAATAAAATGGGAATAAGAACAAAGATAATGGAGTCTTTCCTTTCGAAATTCGTTAATTGAACATGTGGCAAAAATGATTTAATTAAAGTGTTTCAGACATGTGAATTATGCTAAATTGTTTAATAAATAATGGCAGATCTATTCTGTTTTTAATGCTGATCATTGAGTAGGGAAATATAAACTCATATAACATCTTTATATAACATCTATATATATCTTAATAATTGTGGCATTTGACATCTCAAAATCAATGAAGCAATCAGTTGCCGCAGGCATATTCCACCGAAGCACCGAAGCAATTACCACATTCACTCCGATCCGGATTTCGAGTTGACGGGGGACTGATGATGACTCACAGGAGTGAGTCAACGGTGCCGAAATTGCGCAGAACTCAAAGGAACATATGGCTCGGAATTCGCAAGGAGTCTGGGGCAAGCTGCGAGGAGTCTGGAGACAAAGTGTCACCGCGGCAGCTGTTGGTGAGCTGCAGCTGGCACAGATTTCCCAGTTTTCCTCGCAGCCAAAACTGTGGGAACACGGAGCTCTGAGTTGTTTTTCCTGCAAACCAGCAGAGCATAGCGGACACTGGGAGCCAAAACACGCCCTCAATTGAAATATAGCGACTTCACGGCTGGAGCAGTCAACCTACGACACTTTTACGGCAAAGGGAGCGCAGTGGCCAGGGGAACCGATTTAGCAATTCATTGAGGGCAACAAGTTGGGCATTTCACCTGAGCAATGATTTCGCATTAAGCCACGTATAACTCCTCCAGGGAAAGGGGAATGGGAAGAATGGGAGGCGGGTCTGGGCGGTTCTCGACAAAGTTGACACCTTTCAAGGGGGATTCAGAGATTCGGAGATTCGGAGAAGCTGTAAAAAGACTTTTAGGTCTGCGGCGCTAAGAGAGATGTCAGAGTTTTCATGGGAGTTTAAATGGCAGAACTACGATTGTGATTGCTTGGCTAGTAACTACGTTACTTAGGTGCTATTATATGATATATTATATACAGGGATAGATAAATCATAAAGCTCGCAGCCCGAAGATATATAACTATAATTATTAGGCTTTCATCACATTCAATTTGAAACTTACGTATTGACGTGGGCGTGGCAGTTGCCGAGGATTTGCTGCGCGTGGATTGTCCCTTGGTCGTCTGCTGGGTTTTCGGTGGCGGACCCAGATCGGTCGGCGATATGCTCAGATTGCGCACATCCCGCTTCTTGGCAGCTCCTGAAAGATAGAGGAGAAGAGAGGGGAAGATGAACAGAGTGTCGTGCCAAATATTTTGTCACTCCCCACAATCAATATGTGGATGGTGGATGGTGCGGATGCGTAATTTATGCGCAAACACGTTGCCACGAAGCGCAAAGCTTTAAAGTGCCTGGGTTGGGCTGAGTTATCCACTCGGATTGCCATTTAATAACTCAGAGGCGCAAAACACACTTGTTCTCCCCCAAACAAACAGTTGGGGGTCTTTAATTTTCGGGGGGAAACGCTATTTGCATTTTAGTGTTTTGTGGATTAAAACAAAGCGGGTTCCTAATTGAAGTGTCTGCCCCGCGACGAACACACATAAAGGGTGAAATTATATTATGCGAGTGCAGGCATCCATTTAGTTCCCAAAGGGAGTAGGAGTGGAGATTCACATCAAAAGCATCGAATATGATTTTAATACTCCGGGTTTCTCAAGTGCACTTTAGTTCTTGTGAAAATTAATTAAGATAGCACTTTAAAATAAATATACATTTAAGCATAAAAAGAGTTGAAGAGAGCTACATCTGTATATGTTCATTTAATCTTTTTAAAATAACCTAAAGAAAGTAGAAAACGGCCTCAAACTTAAATTGGTTCTGCAGACAACTTTCTTCATGTGCAAGTCAGTCCAAGTTAATCTAATTTTCCTCGAAATAGTTATCTATCTGCCCTGGCAATCAATCATATTTTCCACCTTGTTCCGCGCTAATCAACTCCGATTCAAGTTAACTCGGCGCTGCCATAACGACCCTCTATTGTCGGCCCGGCCATCTTCAGTTCCTGTTGCCACACGAAGCACTTCCACTTGTTAGCCACTGTTTGCGGCCAGGTTGGCCAGTAGTGGCCACTTTAGGGCTGGCTAATCAACCGGCTGGCGGGAAAAATACGTTTCCGAGTCGAGCGACCACAGAAGCACAGTAGCAGCAGCTGCAGCGCTGGACAACGCAATAAATTTCATTTTTAGCTGACGGCTAATTGTGCTGGACATGGACATGGACATGGAAATGGAAATAAAAGTTGCACGCGGGGCTTAGGCCAAATGGAAAACTTTTATCTGCGAAGAGCGTTGCACCGACTGAGTCACGTAATCCTTGCGATGATAAGCGTGTTGCAGCCACGGACAGCAGTTGGATTTTCAAAAAAGTTTGTCAGGGAAAAAAGGGATTAGGTTTGGTGTTTTACTGAATTTTTCCAGTAGCTGTTGCAACTTAAATTTCTGCTGGTGTTTCTTTTGGTTTAATGTGGGATTTTGTTTACATTACAAGTTAATGCCCTCGATGTGGGCTTACACCCTATAAAAAATGCTAATGATTTTCCAGCACCAATCTCACCTTTTGTGAGGCCCTTGGAGGCCCGCTTGCCAAAGCTGCCGAAGCGCTCGCGCTCGATCATCTGGCTGTGGATATATCGCTCGGAATAGGATCGCGACAGTTTCTCCTTGGAACTGTGGGCCCCCATTTTGCGAGTGGTTTTTCTTCCTCCGGTTTTCTCTGATCCACGTAAGAGTTTTCCTGTGCGCTGCGATCGATATCACGACTGCGGATTTCACTTTCACAGGCTCTCGATTAAAACACCCGCGCACAATCTCCAGACGTCGGCGAATTTAATTTGATGTCGCTGACAATTGCCGCTTGAATGCATTTTGCTTTGTTCACTTTTTGTTCGGTTTTTTTGCAAAACAACTTTTGCTCTATGATTACCACAAGGTTGACATTTTTAATGGACTGTTTTTTAGTTTCTTAATTTATTTCCCTCTGCAGTTGACATTGAATAGATGTATAGTAGTTAGATTTAATTGGTGGCCATTAGCCGCTTCAATTAGCCGCCTCATTAAACTGACTCCCCCACGAAACCCTTTTCCCCCACTATTCCGTTTTAATTAAATTATAGTTAACGGCGCCATCCATGAGATGCTCCAATTTTATGGCGTTTTTCACATTTTCCACATACTGAAGGCGAAAAGCATTCCAAGAATCACATTCGAATAGAAAAGTGGCGTGTAAAACGCTTTGACGATGCCAACAACCTAGACACACAAATCCGAAATAGACAAATACTTTATGGCCCAGACATGAAAACAATTTATATTTAATTGAGCGTGGGATTGTAGTGCATCTATTTATTATACCCTTTCAGAGGATGTATTAAATGTGGAGAAAAACTATGTATACATAAGTATTTATCTGCAGGCGAGCAAAAAAGATTCGGCCACCCAAACTCTGAACTAGTTTATGCTTTGTTTATTTTTCTTTTGGTGCAAAAATAAATGCTCCTGTTTGCTGGTCCAAATGCTGGCTATGTTTCGCAACGAGAATGACAAATGATCTAAAAAATAATATACACTCTATGCGACAAAGCGACCCCGATTTTCCCGCTGCGAGAAAAGCACAGCCGAGCCGAGCAGAGCAGAGCGAAGCAGGTGCATGGACGCCTAAGAAAAACTATTGCAACACAATCCAAATAAATCTTCGAGTGGGGAAAATGCCCACTCCCCCTCCGAGTTTCCCCGGCGACTTTGCACGGCAGTTGCTGACAGGTTTGAATGTCATCATAACTTAACAAAGGCGAGCCAAAATGAAACCCAAACCGAAATGAGCTGACAAATTGCACGCTATGATTTGTGGCAGCGCATTTGAATTTGGAGCAGCGACACAAAAACAAAAAAAACTGAGTGAAAAAAGTGGGAAAACACACACACATTTCCCAGTGGTTCGAATGAAAAGGGAAATTTATACGGGCACAGTGGAAAAGTTATGAGCACTTGATGAAAGTGTCTTGTGGTTGTAGAATAAATCAAGGGAGTTATTATGAGAAGTCACATTACAATGTTAATTTTTAAAAGTTAAGAGAATATTGCGCAACATGGAGTAATGAATTGAAATTGTGCGAGTTATATTGTCTATTCATTTATGTTTATATTATAAGTTCAATCTTTCATCTTTGTTAAGATCCTATGAAGATGTAAAATATTTTACAAAGCTTCCTTGAAACCCGACATACCCGCTTCGTTTTTGGGATCACTGGGCACTAATATCCCATAGACCAGGCACAACCCAATTGCTATGAATAGCACAGGCGCCCTCCTTAGTTTAGATCAGTTCAGTTCAGTCAGATTGTGAGTTTAGTCGGGCCTGCAAATGTCAATCCGACCAGTCGACTATAATTAGCCCGAAATGCAACGCAGAAAGGTGTCAAATGTTCGGGGAATTTTAGTGGCCCGTTTGATTTTATTGTTGGCTCCAAATTTAGTCGATTGGAAAACGTGGCGGAGCATAATTCAGATGACTGGGCGCATAATTCAATACCAAATGTCACATGCCTCGAATGCCGGAAGTTTTCCACCACAGCAACAAATGTGAAGCGGAAGTTGTGGGATAGTCCTCAAGGGCAACCCGATGCTTGTATTTTTACATTTTAATTCGCTTTTCATTCAATGGCAGCTGATGAAGCCAAGTTCGGCCAATCGCCGCGGGCCCCGTTTAATTAAATATGTAAAAATTGAATATGACTTTCAATTAAAAGTTGGTCGTTGCCGCCGTGTGGGCGTTTAAACATTTTCCATTGGCAAGCTTTTCCTCTGGCGAGCGAGGAGTGGCGGAAGCTGCAAAAGCAATTAATCGCGCCGAGAGTCGGAGGCACTCGGAAGGAACTTTCCAGCCAGGACAACACACAGGAGGTGGGCATAAATCTACATTATTTAACCGAGACAAGTGCAGCGAAAAGGTGGCAACGAAGAGTTGAAAGATACAAGGGAATTTATAAATGAAGTTGGAAGTTATTAACCTGCACTTTAAATACTTTTTTATACTACCTCTTGATTTATAAAATTTATATACTCAGATTAGTTTGAGTTTAAAGTCACGAAACGATAAAACTTGCAACATAATCAGGGGGGCATAAAAATGGTATAAAAGGGGCTTTATTTCTATGAACCCCACCCACTCCTGGTCATCTGAAATATAGCTCCCGATATTACCGTGAATCATTTCAGTTCGATCTGTATTTTTTATGCAACAGAAACACTATCGTAAACTACGGGTTCGTTGTCCTCGAGGAGAGCATTTGCGGAGGACTCCCCGGCTGGGGCAATAAAAATTTACAATTACTAGCGGAAAAAGAAAAACAAATTTTCCACTCTTTTTATTAATGTGGCGTGCATAAATATAAAAAGTGTGCGCCATTAAAAAATCACCATCAGCTGGGGTCTGCACATGCAAAACTGTAAAAGGAAACTCCGCCTATGCTCTGCAAACGGGACTAAAATAAAACTGACCGATCGCCCCCCGCAGATCCGATATAAACAATCGTTAAACCGACTGTGGAAACTGTGGCAAACTGCATCAGCTGCATATAGTACGTATATAATGAAACGCTGCCACTAAATGTTTCAGTCGGCCAACAACAGAGACATACTCGTAAACCCAAATTTCGATTTTAGCTTGAACTGCCAAATGATGTCATTGAAATTTGTAGTTTCCTCGCTTTTTGCTCCAGTAAATTTAACAAAAAGGGCACTGGGCCAAAAGATAAATATAGAAGGCGGCGTAGATCTTTGGGTTCGAGTGGGGCTAATACCCTGTAGCAAGTAAGTGGATTAGCCAAGCATGTGAGAACCCCAATGGAAAGATAACCCAATGATGAGTCACAAGGCAGGCGTTTAAAATAAATGAAATGAAATTTAGAAACGAGGTTAATATACCCCTAATGATTTTAGAAAGCTTCAAGAATGGATTATCTTATTGGAAAGAAAATAATTTAAATAACGTTGTTCAGGAAGCCATATGAACAGAAATACAGACAATTTATTGCCCATTTATTCGAATAAAATATTCAAATGAAGTATCTAATTATCTTTCGCATTGTAATAAAGTTTTCGTTTGCATTTTCCATGGCCCCAGAGTACAAAAGTAGTTTACTTTTATTGCCTGAAAAACAAAAAGGGGAAATGGCAAATACAAATGCGAATGCGAATGCGC